ATGAACTTAACACGAACAAGTTCGCATCCGGGATAGTGTAAAAAAAGTGCGGGGTCTTATCAGGTCCATTTGAAAAAAAATATATATATATTTTAAAGTACCCGAGTGTTACGGGGTTTACGAGACGTGCGGATCCAAGTGCAAAGCTTTATTAATAGATATGGTAGAGACAGGCAAGGGTCAGATAATGGCAACAGGTATATAGGAGGCAAAACACAAGAATATATCCTAGGGCTTGCGTGAGTCTACGATCGGCCAACAGGATCAATAGGGCGAGACTAGAGGGATAAGTCCAGGTACAAGGCAAGGTCCAGGCAGGGGCAAACAGTATCAGAATAGGGCAAGACAAGAGGGGGAATCCGAGATACACAGGCAAAGATAAGGACACGAGGAAACAGACAAGGCAAGACTAAGCTAAGGCTATGAAAAGTAAACAAGCTCCGTAGAGTAGCTATCGCTAAGAGAGTGATAAATGCTATACAATACTCAGCAGCTTGACGGGGATCAGAGTGAGTGTATATATAGGGAAGGTGTGATTGGTGACAGCTGTGTGCAATCAACTGTGTGTAATCAGTGCAATGGATGCTGGGAACTGTAGTCCGGGTGAAGTGCAACAGTGGTGTGGTGCCAGAGTCCATAGTAATGGAAGGGTGACCTCTGGTGGCAAGCAGACGGAAGTTCATGGAACGGATTCGTGACAGAGCGTGACAGATAAGGCAGAGACAGAAACAGCTTCTTTGGCTGGGTTGACGGCGAACAGGATCAATAGGGCGAGACTAGAGGGATAAGTCCAGGTACAAGGCAAGGTCCAGGCAGGGGCAAACAGTATCAGAATAGGGCAAGACAAGATGGGGAATCCGAGATACACAGGCAAAGATAAGGACACGAGGAAACAGACAAGGCAAGACTAAGCTAAGGCTATGAAAAGTAAACAAGCTCCGTAGAGTAGCTATCGCTAAGAGAGTGATAAATGCTATACAATACTCAGCAGCTTGACGGGGATCAGAGTGAGTGTATATATAGGGAAGGTGTGATTGGTGACAGCTGTGTGCAATCAACTGTGTGTAATCAGTGCAATGGATGCTGGGAACTGTAGTCCGGGTGAAGTGCAACAGTGGTGTGGTGCCAGAGTCCATAGTAATGGAAGGGTGACCTCTGGTGGCAAGCAGACGGAAGTTCATGGAACGGATTCGTGACAGAGCGTGACAGATAAGGCAGAGACAGAAACAGCTTCTTTGGCTGGGTTGAGACAGGGTAATATTTCACAAATGGCCTCTTTGGCCGGTTCAGGATGAAACAATAGTTCGTAAACGGCCTCTATAGCCATGACAGGACGGACAGAGAGTTCACAGACGACCTCCTTGGCTGGAACAGAACAGGCAGAGAGTTCACAGACGACCTCCTTGGCCGGAACAGAACAGGCAAAGAGTTCACAGACGGCCTCCACTATACGATCCAGGTGGGCGGTGGAGCGGAGGCGGAACTGGGGGAGGGCCGGAGGGCCAGGTCCACGTGGAAGTGGAGAGACCAGGAACTGAGGCAGAGCAGGGAGCCAGGGTGGAGCCGGCAGTACAGGTGGAACTGAGGACCACCACAGCAGAGCAGATGGGACCGAAGATCCCCAGAGCCAGACAGTAGACCACCACTGCGGAGCAGAGGACCACCAGAGCCAGACAGTAGGCCACCACGGCGGAAGCAGAGGACTACCACGGCAGAGCAGACGGAGCCGGGACCTATGGCAGAGATGGGGGCCTAGAGAAAACAGAGACAGACAACACAGGCAGTGCATTCCTGGTTTCAGGAACCAAGGCAGGGAACACAAGAAGTTCATCAATGTTCTCTAGGGCAGTGACAGACTTAAAGGGACAGACACAGAATGTATTATTATTCTGTGGGCTCATGACAGGCAGGTTTAAGGGTTCAAAGACGGGGTTTTGGGCTGTGACATCTGTCACACCTGAAACTGTCTGTCTGTCTAAGGCAGAGAGTTCAGAAACAGCTTCTTTGGCTGGGTTGAGACAGGGGAATATTTCACAAATGGCCTCTTTGGCCGGTTCAGGATGAGACAATAGTTCGTAAATGGCCTCCATAGCCGTGACAGGACGGACAGAGAGTTCACAGACGACCTCCTTGGCTGGAACAGAACAGGCAGAGAGTTCACAGATGACCTCCTTGGCTGGAACAGGACGAGCAAAGAGTTTACAAAAGGCCTCCATAGCCGTGACAGGACGGGCAGAGAGTTCACAAACGGCCTCCATAGCCGTGAGAGGATGGGCAGAGGGTTCACAGACGGCCTCCATAGCCATGACAGGGCAGGACGAGAATTCACAGACAGCCTCCATAGCCGTGTCAGGACGGGCAGAGAGTTCATAAGTGGATACCACTGACACCTCTGGAGGTTCTGCAGCAGATGCTGCCACCACTGGAGGTTCTACAGTAGGACCATCAGGAAATAGGGAGAGTTCATTAACGGTTCCTTCGACTAAAACATGACAGGCTGTGAGTGCCTTACTGGGAGCCACCACCGTACAAGGAGTTGAAGCGAGTGCCGCCGCCTCAGGAGGTTCTGCAGCACACGCCGCCACCTCTGGAGAAGCTGCAGCAGGCCCCATCACCTCTGGGAAAACAGCAGCGAACTCCACTACCTTGGGAGGTTCTGCAGCATCAGCCGCCACCTCTGGAAACATCATAGTTGGCGCAGCTGTTTCAAGAGTCTCAGTGGTGGTGTATGCAGCCACCACTGAGACTAATCACAAGTCAAATCACAGTTGATCATCATGAGTCAAGTCAAATCACAGTTGATCGTCATGAGTCAAGTCATGACGATCAACTGTGACTTGACTTAGCTCAGGAAGATCAACTGTGACTTGACTTGACTCAGGAAGATCAGTTGTGACTTGACTTGACTCATGACGATCAACTGTGATTTGACTTGACTCATGATGATCAACTGTGATTTGACTTGATTTGACTTGATTCATGACGATCAACTGTGACTTGCTTTGACTCAGGATTGGCAGCTGTGACATAACGGGGCGCTGTTGTGTCGGCCTTTTTGCGATCAGGCTCTGCTGTCGCTGCCATTTTGTGAGCGTGCTTTAGTGCGGCCGCCAATACACGAGTGAATGCAGGGTGACATTCCTCCGCGATACCCACAGTGAATGCTGAACCAACAGATAATAGAGCATAGTCCATAAAATCACTTAGAGACGAATGAGGACCCTCATGAATCACTCGTGATTTTACAGGCTGGGAAAGGCCATCACAGAAGAAGTCAATTAACATGCAGTCCGGTAATTCTGAGCCATTAGCCAAACCCAAATATTCCGCAATGTAACCCTCAAGTGATCGTGTGCCCTGCTTGAGAGCAAGTTGCAGAATCGCTGTGTTCATACCTGGCCAATGTCCTTTGGAAAAGCCGCTGGATCCTTGTGTGGTCGAGTATTCTGTTACGGGGCTGATGAGACGTGAGACGTGCAGATCCAAGTGCAAAGCTTTATTAATAGACATGGTAGAGACAGGCAAGGGTCAGATAATGGCAACAGGTATGTAGGAGGCAAGACACAAGAATATATCCTAGGGCTAGCGTGGGTCTACGATTGGTGAACAGGATTCATGACACCGAGACCCGAGGTCACTAATACCGAACCCGACCCGTGTCTGAGGCACTCTTAGAAGTTTTAGACGTGAACTCGCTCAGTGGACCCGAGAAAACTTCTACCTTCAAAAACTGAATTTGACACCCCTACATTAAGATGTAGTGACACAGATTGCTTTTTACTTTTACTGTATATAAAAATGTATATCTACAGTAGAATTCTGTAATCGTTAAACTTCATGTAATTATTTTGTGCTTTGCTGTTTATATGCTTTTTGTACTTGAAGATGCAGTAACGCTGGGTTTCCAATCCTGTCCCTGGAGGATCACTGTCCTGCAGAGTTTAGCTCCAACACACTTGCCTGGAAATTTCTCGTGAGTCTAAGGCCCTGTCCACACAAATGCGAGTATTTTCAAAACTGCAGCTTTTTCTACAAACGCTTTTCTTTAAACGCAGCACCAGGTCACCTTTTTGATAACTCCTGTGAAGATTTTCAAAAACTCCGGTCGCAGTGTTATCGTGTAGACGGCGAAACCGGAGATTTTGGCTTGTGACTGTTATCTCCACCTACTGGAAACTTTTTCAGGCTTCTGATTGGCCAACATGGCTTTACAGTTGAGATTATATCGCTACCTGTTGGTTTGGCATGCTCTTGACAGTGCTTCATAGCATGCATTTGCGTTATCATGTGCGTTATCAAAAACTAAAAATACCCCTCTATGTGTGGACATGGCCTAAATATCTTGATTACTTTAGCTCCAACCCCAATTAAATACACCTGAACCAAACTCTGCAGGACACTGGCCCTCGAGGAACTAAATTTGACACCCCTTCAATAACATGACCAATTCGAATAAAATTAAATCGACCTTGATTTTTGAAATATTGATGCTGAGAAATGACATTTAAAACTTTCTTTTATTATATTTCATGAACATCTAATGTGAATAAGATACCAACTACTTGCTTAAAACTAATGTCAACATGAATATTTTACTAAACAAAGTAGCAAAGTTCCATAAGTTTTTAGGGAATTTATGCTCATTTAAAAGTTGGGGATAGAATAAAGCTTGTTTTCCATTGTCTTGAATATGTTCTTCGAGTAATCCATTTTCACCCAAAAAGTAAATTACATATTTACAATTACAATGAAAACTTTTTGTGAATGTCAAAGAACAATAAACTGCTAAAAACAGTAGCAGAGTAATTAGGGCACTCCAAAAGTTGGGTACTGAAGAATCCCAGACTCCATCTAGGACTTGAATTCAGTTAAAGTCTTGTGCAGTGGTAGTTGAAGAATAACACTGCATGTATTTGCCTCTGGGAGAGGCTTGATTGTGTTGTTCACTGGATGCAAAAATTCCAGTTTCCTTTCAAGGGAACTTCAAACTGCATCCTCTAGGGGTCGCTATGGGGGAATGCCTCGTCGTGACCCGTGTCTGAAGCATACATTGAAAAAACAACAACACATTGGCCGGCGACAGCCCATGACGTCACTACCAGTGCGACTATAGTATAAATAGGCGTCGGGAGAACATGTCATTCTCTTCTTCGTCTTCATTAACTGTTTTGTTTGAAGCGTGCATTTGAACGTGGTAAGAGCGATCTACTAACTATTATTATGGCGAGCACTAGCAGAGCGTTTAGAGGGTGTGTGCATCCGTGTCATCGCTATTTAACACCTGATGACACACACGATCTCTGTGTTTTGTGTTTGGGCGAGGAGCACGCACGCGACGTCCTTGAGGGGGCAATTTGCGTGGATTGTGAGCGTTTTTCGATGAAAAAGCTCCGCTCTCATTTGTCTCTTTTTTTCGAGGAAAGAGGGGCAGCCATCTGCTCCCCACGGTTCAGGACCCGCCGCTGCTGAGGCACGGAGGAGAATGAGCTCATGGGGTTCGCAGGTGGACCTGGCTGATGAGTTTAGGGAGGAGCTTTCCTTCTCGCGCTTGTTGGCTGCGGATGAGAGAGAGCCGCTGGAGGATGATGTTATCTCTTTGACATCATCTGATCCGGGGGCCAGTGTTCTGCTGGGTTTAGCCCAGGAAGAGCAGGAGATGTCTGAGGACGGCAAAGAGGCTGAGGCTGAGCCTTCCCAATCCTCCTGCCCTGCGTATGATGAGCTGTTGAAAGTTATGGATCACGCCACGGCGAGGCTAGACTTGCCGTGGGGTCGTCTCGATGAGCGTTATCTTTCTGACCATAACCGTCCAGCTCAGGTGAGCCTTCCATTCCTTCCTGATTTTGCATACAGAAATCGAGAAGAAATGGAAGAGGCCATTTTCTTCTCGCATCTATCGATTCCAGCATACGAGTTATGCCAACATCGAGGCGATGCGTGAAAATGGCTATGAGAGGATGCCCCCTGTTGAAGAGATGCTGACTAGCTATCTCTCTTCGGGCGAGACATCCTCCCTTAATACTCCCTTCCTTGCCATCTAAGCCCTTCAAGGATACATCGCGCTTAAATGGTAGGGCATACGCAGCAGCAGGTCAGGCTGTGGCTTCGTTGCACACTATGGCGGTGCTCCAGGCGTATCAGGCTGATCTGCTGAAAGACCTGGATAAAGGTGAGGGGCTTTCTCCTGATCAGGTAGCTGAGCTGCGCCGCACCGCAGATCTTGCTCTCCGTGCTACTAAACAGGCCGCCTCCGCCATGGGCAGGTCTATGGCGGCGATGGTGTTAACGGAGAGACATCTGTGGGTGAACCTGGCAGATATCGGGAAGAAAGAGAGGGGCTTTCTTCTTGATGCTCCGGTTTCACCTTCTGAGCTTTTTGGTACCTCCGTTGAGACGGTGGACGAGAAGTTCAGGGAGGTGAAGGCGCACTCAGCAGCCTTTAAATCCTTCATTCCACGAAGGTCCAGGTCTGAGCCCGAACAACATAGGGGTCCTTGTCCCTCTTGGTCTGAGGATAAGAGACATGCACAGAAGGCTAGTGTCGCGACTCGCACTCCTCCTCCGCCCGCGGGTAGGGGAAGGAGGAATCGCAAGTCAAAGGGAGGTAGGCAAGACCTAAGGGATGTGATCCAGACAAGGCATCAGCGCTTTCGTCCAGATCAGTGATACGTGAGTATCTACTCATTTCCTTCGGGGGTGTCACAGCTGCCCTTTTTCTTCCCCTTCCTAATTCCACTATAACCACCAGCACTCCACGTGACTGAGGTTAGGTGGGAATTTTCCTGCATTACAGTCTCCTATGCTGAACCTATGATGTTTTGGTTGGTTCTATGACTTCATAGCAACCACCTTACTGATGGTCCGGACTAGAGGCTTCTCTGGAATCGCCTTTTGAGCGGGGTTCCGGCGCAGGAACCATAATGGGTGAGTATGATCCATTTTTTATATATATATATTGTGACAAGTCGGCTATCTCCCCCTAATTATCATCATCACCCGTCCCATAATCGCCGCCCTTCGCCAGGCTCCCGATGGGAGTGGGTGTGTGAGAGAGGAGGGGCGCTGAAACAGCCGGGGCTGGCGGCGTGTGATGGGGCACACCTGAACCAAATGGAGCCTCATCACCGCCGCTCCTCGGGAGACCGGTCTCTTCCCCGTGCATGCACGCTGGTGTCCTTGTGGGTCCAGGAGGGGTGCATAGAGGGATCTCCGTGCCACCGACGATGCGAGCTACCGGACCCGCGGTCCGGACGAGGGCCGCACCTGTTACACGGCTGTCGGGCCAGGATGCCGGGCCGTCTAGCCCCTCCACATGCCGGGGCCAAGGCGAGAAGGATGCAGCCGCTGAGCAAAGCCGCCGCCCCTCGCGTCGCGGACGGGAGAGGGGAGTGCGTGCGGCCGCCAGACTCCGCCCCTTACCTGGACCCCTCCTTCCTGATCACTGCCCTTCCCTGCACGAAGCCCGCAGCACGACGAGGACACCAGATTCCCTGTTTATTTTGGACACTAGATGCTCCTTTTTTTCCCTGGACACAATGTTTATTTGATTTTATTTGTCAATAAAAGCCTCTCCGAGGCCTGACGCCACACCCCCTGTGTCTGTCGTGTGCTCCTCCCGTGACAATATATACAGTATATATATATGTGTATTTCATGTGCTGGTAGTTATGTGTGTATAATCCTTCTGTGAGATTTCTTTGCAGCATCTTCTGGGACCGGTGTGTTTCTGTTCCTTTTAAGGTAGGTCCTCTGCGAGCACCCCTTTGCTGGATTCAGAAACCAGGTGCTCGACTTGCAGTGTTACCTTACTCGTCGATATTATGTCCAGCCGGTATGATAGCCCAGGTGCCGGCTTCATACTTCCTGGACCATGCGGCCAGGTCAGAGGCTTCTGCGGGAGCCTTCTTGATCATCAGGCCCCCGGTACGACACTGCAAAAAGATTCATGGATGTCCGGGCTTCAGGATATCCCCTCTTGCTGAGGCATCGAGCGGGAAGAGTAGGTGGCATTTGCGAGAACCTTCTTGTGTGATGCTGTCTCAGGCAGTGCTCCCCTCGCCTTAAAGGGTTGTATTTGAGCTTGCCTCTCCCGTTTGGCCCAGATGCCTGGAAATTTAAATGCTATGGTAAGTGCACACGCTAAGCTCTGTGCACTTTCTGAAACCCACATAGTGGTAAGTGTGCACGCTGAACACTTTGTGCAATTTCTAAAATCCACAGTAGTGGTAAGTGTGAACGCTAGACTTTGAGCACTTTCTGAAATCCTGTACAGTAAGGGTTACGCGTTGTAGCTTCATTCCCTTTCTCGGAGTTGGTTAGACCCCCGTACCTTGGGCTCCACTCAACCAGTATGTCTCTATTTTTGACACACTTGGAAGTATCGCTCCCCTCACCATTGAGGGTTACTATGAGCATGCTGCTTCCTATCGAGCGCCCGGGTTCGCTCCGTGGGCTGTTCTTGTGGTAATATTAGCAGTGCTCCCCTTTACCAAAGGGTTGCCTATGAGCACGCTATTCTTTCTGATCTTTCTGAGTTCGGAGTTCTCCTCTCACGTGAGAGTTGAGTTCTCTGTTTTCTCAGAGCACTTGGAACCAGTAGCATCAGGTGAACTAGGCCCTTCCAAATCTGCCTCTCTGATGCACTCTGATGAGTTTTTGGCTAGCTTGCAGTACACTTACCTCTAATTTCTAACGATCATGCTGGGTGAGCCCCCTCGTTGAGAGCTGGGTCTGTGTTCCCTCAGCTAGGTAACTTACTGCTGGCAGTTCCAGCATTGGAATATGCGGTAGGTCAAGCTCCCCTCTCATGTGAGAATTGGGTGTTTGCCTCCTCAGCTAGAGATTTACTGCTAGCCATTCCAGCTTTATATCTTAGATCGAGTTGGTGACTCTCAAACATATTGGGTTTGGTATGCACCATTCCATCTATGAGCTGCTCTTTCAGAGTGCCACGAGAGCCCCTTAGAACGGTATCCTAAAATCCATGTTATGGTAAGTGTGCACGTGAAGGCTTTGTGCACTTTCTAAAATCCACATTGTGGTAAGTTCGCACGCTAGTTCTTTGCGTTCTTTTCTAAAATCCTGTACGGTGAGGACTTCGTGGGGTTGTTTCGTGCCCTCTCTTGAGCTGGTTTAAGGCCTGTTCACCTTGGGCACCACTCCACTTAGGTATCCTAGGATACCTACTTTAACAGGGTGTGGCCACTAGAGGTCTGTTGAGACAGTTCCTTTCAGAGCTTATGCAAGAGCAAGCGATAGCCCCTGTGTGACAGGCCAAGACTTAGCGTGATCCTAGGTTCTTGATCGTATCCCCTTAAAGGAATCCATTATGATTCCAAGCCTTGCGTAAGTACTTCTATCATTTAAGCGGGTAGAACAAAAGTCATCAGGGCAGTTATTTGAGATTTGACTTACTAGTCATATGGTGCATAGCATCCTAGAGATGTTGTCCGACATGAGCGCCGCTCCGACTCTGCTGGGGTGCAGGCCATCAGCGCGAAAAAGCTTAGGACTCTCCCAGAAAAGATTCCAGTTATTAACAAAGAGCAGTTTCTGTTCTTTACACCATGACAATAACCATTCATTTAAAGCAAAAAGCCTACTGAACCTCTCATGTCCTCGTCGATACGTGGGAAGCGGTCCTGACACGATGATCGTCGTCGCGGGTGATGTGCGGCACACCGTCTCGATCAGGCTCCTGAAGTCCCTCTTCAGTGTCTCCGTCTGCCGCAGCTTGGTGTCGTTAGCCCCCGCGTGAAGCACGACCGCTCCGGGGCTCTCGTCACCCTTCAGGATCACGGGCATCTGCGCTGAAACATCGAGAACACGAGCACCAGGGAAACAGTGAGTGTGCACTTTACCTTTAGCTAACGTAGCACGGACGTGCCAGACGATGGAGTCTCCAATGATCACAGCGTCGCGTTCCGTCTCGCGGAGGGGAGCGAAGCGGTTCCGGGTGGAGATCTCGAAGACCTGAGGCGGCGGAGGGGGAGAGGTCGTCGCCCGGGACCTGGCTCGCGTCTTCCGCTGCGGCTGCACCCAGGGTCCGTGGCTATGAAGGTAATTACAGCCTCATTATTATGATTTAATTGGTTTATCAAATAACGTGCGATTGGTCGACTAATCGACTAATGTAACGACTACTAGTCGACCAGAAAAATCTTTAGTCTGGGACAGCCCTAATTATTACATCCACCAACAAAACAACAAAACAGATCGGCTCGATTTGAGAAAGGGGTAAAGATTTTAGTAGATAAAAAAAAAACACTGGGTGGATTTTTATCATTATAGGGTGTTGTGTGTACACACACTGCCAACACACATTTCAGTTCAAACAACATGTAAAAGAGCATGTAGCATCCTATGAGCCCTTTAATAGTATGCTACAAAAAGATCATAAGCATTTTCATAGAGGGAGATTGCCGTGTTAGGTATTTGATAGATTGCCTGTGCTGCATGGGAAGTGATTTTTTCAGCACATTATGGCTGTTTTTATTTTTAAATGTTAATCAAAAAGTAAATCAAGTGTTTATGTTTTGCAAACAGCCGGTCCAAAAACTGTGAGGGACTTTTTCTGGAATTGAGTTCCTGCTCTGAATTTCCATAACTGACGCATTGGGTGCAGACAGAACATTCAATGAAACAATGCTGCTCATCTTGTATAACATGTTCATGACACATCATTGTATGCCACTGACTTGACAAACCAGATTGGCATGTAGGTTATGGTTAGGTAAAGGCTGGGTAATTGTTGG